GATTAAGGGAGTGGGAGGTAAATTTAAATTTATTTAATAAACTACTTTTTTATATATACGAAGTATATATTTTTGGGTTTTTTACAAGAATATTACTACAATAAAACTTATTTACATATATATGACTATTCATTACTATAACGTAGTGATGTGGTAACTAAAGTTTAAAACTTGAACATGAATTACTATGATTTCATTACTACTCTAGTAACTAATCATATTTTTGTAAACCATCTTTATTTTGGTCATATTTATGCAATTATTTCTATATTTTTAGGCCTGGGACCAGTTTGGTTCCTAGGCAAAATATGTGCAACCGTTTGAAAATATGAAATTTTACTAACGGTTCGGTTCTTATAAATTATTTTATAGAACCGATAAAGAACCGAACCATTGTTAATTGTTCGGTTCTTGTCATTTAATGGTTCCTAGTCTTTAAAAAATTTTGTACAAATCACGGTAAAATTTGTGCCATAAAGACATTCAACGTTTGAAATTACAATACAAATATGTTGAACATCATTAAAAACCTCAAAAGTTGAGTTTAAAACATAAATACATAACAAATCGCAAATTTTAGTAAATAAAACCAAAACAAGATATTAGCTAAAGAAGCCCAAGAGAACTGATTAAAATGAAAAATAATTTTAAATAATTAAATAATAACTAAACTAAAATAGTGAATGTAATATAAAAATAGATAAGTAAATATACATTAAAATATATATATACTAATAAGATATATATAATTTTAATTATTATATATAACGGTTCCTTAACGGTTCCATGTACATATTTTTTTCAGGAACCGAGAACCGAACCGTTAATAAAAAAATAGGAACCGAACCATTAATAAATAACTAATAAATTTTGGAACTGAACCGGGTCATAAACAAATTTGGGGTGCTAATGAAAGAGAATTCAATTATCTTGATGTCATTCCTAAAGAGAAGTGGACACTTTGTTTTGATGGTGGATGTCGTTATGGAATTTTAACGACCAATCTATCTGAAAGTTTTAACCATGTCCTGAAAGGATGTAAAAAGCTTCCAATTACAACACTTGTGAGAGCAAGTTTCGATAAATCTGTTCAGCTCTTTGTAGAACAACGTAATGCTGGTATGAGGTGGAATCAAAGTGGATATTAATTTCCGGAAAAAAATCCCGAAGCAGATTATGGATCGATGGCAACAAAGGTGGCACACTTTTGTAATCCCGCACAATTATCATAGTGGAGTTTTCTCAGTAGCCATAGAAAATGCAACTTCGGTTACAGTAGGCTTTTCAAGGAGCGACTGTGATTGCGGCTGCTGGAGGATGAACTGGATGCCATGCAACCACGTGCATGATGTGTGCCACTTCCTCAACCGCCCTGTCGATCAACTTATTCCGGAGGTATATAAACTGAGCTCTTACATTAATGCACATGCGGGTGATATTATGCCTTTACCAAATATGAATGAGTGGTTGGATATTGGGATCCATCTTTTACCGCCGAAACATTTATCACGAACTTCTCGAGTGGAGCGTCGTCAAGAAACAAGGTTTCAAAATGATATGGATATGCTTCCAAACAGAAGAAGAGGACAACAATGATTTCATGTATTTTTTAATATTTTAGCGTTTTTAGTAATTTATTATGAAAGAATTGTACTTTTTAAGTTTTTAATAACAAGTTGTTTCTTATCATTTCAATAAATATTTCAATTCAGAACATTTAAATTTTCATTTCATTAGATAGTACTGTATAATTGTTTTTGAAATGTTTGATGAGATAAATAAAGCATTGTACTGTTTAAGAATGTAAATACAGGAACATATTATCCGAATCTGTTCAAACCTTTTTTAATCGAAAATTGTTCAACGTATTCACCAAATACGTTGCTTGATTTCTTCTTTTTTTTGTAATCGAAAATTGTTGAACATATTCGCCAAATACGTTCTCTGATTTCTTTTTTTTAATAGAAATTATTGAACATATTCACCAAGTATGTTTAATCTTTGGAATGGTTTGCACACCAGAATCTACACCATTTAGAATTGTCAGCAAAAATTCTACCGTATTTTGTGAATAACCATGTGCAATCACCCACACTCCCATGAGCAAGCAGCCTTGGGCCCTTGGCAGATCCAATCAAAAGCCTTGGGCCCTTTTCACTATCATAGTATAGTGAAAATGAAAAATGTAATCATAATAAGGTCATATGCAACGTAGAAATAAATACTGTAATAGATATGGAACGAGTGAATAAGCTACAGAACATGGGTCGGCTCTACATAAACTCTAGGGCCGGTCTAATCTTCAGCCCTAGACGATCTAATCTTCGGCTTCATTTCTCATATTGAAAAGAGTTTTGATGATTGTGCTGTTTTCGGGAGAGTAATGAATCAATTGTTTTGTTATGTTATTCCTTTTTTTCTCTCTGTCTTCTAGGGTTCTGGTTTTGGTCCGACATCTTCTTTAGCGAGAGTTATGTCTGCTTCAGGTGAACATGTATTTTGTTCTTCTCCTGAGAATGTCTAGAGGTTGTGTCTTCCTCGTCCGTGTAACCGATCGAGTGCTACATTATTAATGGTTGGCAAGACAGGTTCAACCTTCTTCTAAAGCTTCAATTACTTGTCCCCTTCCTTAACCACCGCCTCCCTCGAAGAAAAAGATAGCGCTCAACTGAATCTTCTTCTCGATGGCTGGTCAAACTGATTATCTAGACAATTTCTGTTTAATTAAGTTTTTCATTTGTTGGTTGATGGTTAGACTAATTATCCTTTATGGTGCCCAATGAAGCCGAATCTTTTAATCATAATTTTTTATTTTTTCTTTGTAGTAGCAAGAAGAGCACATCATGCCTCTCCTCCAGGCCCTCTTGTGTTTACGTACTCATAGGATTGTAAACAAATCTGATTGAGTCAAATAGTGTGATATTTATGTTCGTATTTGTTTAATTTTTTAAAATACAAATCCGATTTGGATATGAAATAATTTTAATTTCAATATATATTCGTATTCGTTTAACAATATGAATAGTTAACGAAACATATAGAAGTTTTGAATCGATCAATTTTTTCATAAGTTAATTATTGGTCAAATATTGCTTTAAAACAACTTTTCCTATATTTTTTTATGTTATAAATGCATGCTATGAATTAATAAGTGTATGTGTTTTTAAAATTTAACTTGTAACATTATATTTTTCTTTAAAGTTTAATGGATCAATGTGTTTTTGGGTCATTCACAACATACTAAAGTGAATCAGTTTTATGGCTAACATACATAAATCTTTTTCAAAGTTCTTGAAATAAACACAAACACACATATTAAATACTATATATACCTGTAATGTGTTAAGTAAGTTGACAGTTATATTAGAGTAAAATGACTCTAAATTTTAATTAGATATTTAATATTGTTAATAATAGAAAACCATTAGATATATGATTTATATTAGACACACACATATACTTAGTAGGTACCACGCACACATATTGGGTATTTGATGTTGTATAAGTATAAACGAATCACAAATAAAATCAAAATTGTTTGATTTGTAAAGTCCCAGTATCAAGTAGTCTTAAATGTAAATGTATTGGAACAAATGTTTTTTTTTTCTTTTTTTATCACACATGTTATGTAATTATTCATAGCATCCAAGAGTCATGAATTATTATTACTATGCCGCACAATAGTTTGTTTTATCCTTTTTGTTAAAGTAAGTTCTAGAATATGAAGTACAATAAATCCAATGTGTGTATTGGGCGCCTAGCTATATGTTGCTGGACTATTCTGCTTTTATGAAATTAGTACAATTATTGATCAAATATATTTGATTAACATTCCAATCGATTGACATTCTTATTTATATCTGGTAACAATTCGAATCAAATTTAATATTTTTATTTGTACTCGGATTTGAATTTTTTGAATAATTTCATACGAATTAGAATCCCGAACTAAACATGAATTATTTGATTCATATACAACCATACGTACTGATATTAAAAGATATATTGCTTATTAATTAAAAAATGTATTGCTTGGTAGAGACTTCAATTATGACATACTTCCTCCGTTCTTTTTTAGTTGCAACATTCCTTTTTCACGTTTGATGATGCACAACTTTGACCGTCGTCATTATATTTAATTCTCTATTAGTAAAAAACTTTTAAAAAACCGATTATGAAACTTTGTAATGAGATGAATTCAACAATGTTTTAAAAAAAATAATTCACATACATTAATAAATAAAATGTAGTCAAAGTAGAGTACATGAATAGTGTGTAAATTCCAATGTTGCAACTATTATGATACGTAGGATAGTATGACTCAAGACAAAGTTCGGTAGTGCCCACTGCCCAATACACGGTTTTCTTTTTGCTAAATGTGATATGAAAAGTGGACACATGTAATAAAGAGTTTTTGCAACTTTCAATCCTCCGATTATTATGTTATTCATACTTTTGGTGCTCGGTTTTAATTTTTTTTCGTTTTTAGTCCTTCGACTAATGTGTGAAAGACACTTTTGATACCCGCATTTAAAATTTCCATATTTAGTTCTTGAGCATTCATCAATGTGAATTTTTGTTCCTCCAACTATTATAATAGTGACATTTTTAGTCCTTTACTTATTGTTTAAAAATCATAGTGGAATGACAAAAATGTCCATCTGGTAATACTTAGGGGACTAAATATGAAAAACTGTAAAATCAAAGACCAAGTGTGTCTCTCACACAATAATTGAAGACTACAAATGAAAAAATTCAAAATTGAGTATAAAAAATGTCATCGATACAATACTAGGAACCAAAGTGACCAAACCGTGTAATAAATTAGACTTGTAAGATGTAAAAAAGTAAACGATGGTGAAAGTAGGGAATCAAATGCTAGTAAGATAGAGGGGTGCCATCAATTCAAAGGCCTATCTAGATACCCCCTAGCTACTAATAATTCCATTGAATTTGAGGCTATATATACTTGTATATATAATCCACCGATTCCCATTTAAAAGCGCGGTACGTACTCCTCGAAGACATATAAAATCAGACCTAAAAGTCATGAATGTTGAGAAAGAGAATATGGAGCCAACCCATTCCGAGGAAGAAGGTGAAGCCTCAAATGGTGTTGCTCTGCCTTTGACGATCGGGAAGAAGAGGAAGCTGGTGATATTGGATATTAATGGCGTACTTGCCCTTATGGTTAGGCACTCGATCCCAGGTGGTGTCAGCTTTCCCGGCGGGTTGACGAGTATGCGTGACTCACACATCCTTTTACTCCTATTTGTTTGACATAAATATATTGTAGATTTGATCAGTAACTTTAGTTTTGCACGTCTTCATTTTCTAAGTCTGTTTGATAATATTTAAATTGTGATTGAATGGGTTAAATCTATAGAATTCTAAAAAATATATATATTTAATATATTTTACCAATAAGATTTGGTTAAACTTAAACGAAAGATAGCTAAAATCTTCATATAAGTAATTTGAACTAATTCAGTCAAAAAAGTAACTTTAATCATGCCAATTTTGATCCTTACACAATTCTGCGTGCGAAATCAAAATATGATTGACAAAAAATATGACTGATGAGGTGATAATCTAAAAGCAGATGTTATCAAAAGGCTCTCAATTTTAATTTCATTCATTTGTATATACACTGTTATATTTATTTCTTTTGAAACTTTGTCATCTTTCATATGCTTGTACTATATAAAAATTATTGCCAAAATTTATCACCATTGACTTTTCAAGTAAAAGATAACAATTTTTTAGGGGTAAAAGTAATAATTAAAAAAGTTGTCCACAAAATTTTTTCCGGATTGTTATATTCCGCATAAATGATGTACAAGCTTCATATGAAGTACCACATATTAATGAGCTCTACAATATTAGGTAGTGTTTATTTTAAACAACTCAATCCCTACACTTTTGCTCGACCTTTGATATATCAATTCAAGGTGTGAACAATAGTGGAGGAATCATTATCTTTATCTTTATACGAGAATCTATGAATAGAGTATGGTGGGTACCCCAATAAAAATCTATTTGAAGTCAAAAGAAGTGAAAAATGTTATCTTAATTAGTGAAGCATTTAATAACTCTTAAATTAATAATAACGAATAAAGATTATGTAAATATGTAATTTATAGTTACAAGTTATAAATAACACATTTAAAAATGCAATAAATATAAATATAAAAATTGAAGAATTAGAAACATAAAACATCAGAATTCATTTGGACACATAAAAAATAAAGAGAGAATAATGAAATGTTCTGATAAAAAAATGAAAATATAGAGTATTAGATTATATTTAAGTGTGAATAATCCGGCTAGAAAAGTTCTGTGAAAGAATACTTCTTTTATAAAGTTGGCAATAAATTAACTGCAATTGCAGAATTTAATTTACTTGAATAACACATTACACGTATGGTAATAAACAACAATCTACAAAGCATATAAGAAAATATTAATCATTCAAAAATATGAAGACGTTAGCAGTGTCCATTTTCATACAACTAACATTTCATTGTTCAAAATTTTGATAGGTTAATTGTTATTTTTTAAATACAAACATATTGTATAATCCACCCACATACATAACTTGAAATGAATTGAAAACCAACATTTTCACGTCTCTTGATTAATAATTTAATAGTATTATCATTTTTTTCGTTTATGTAAATTGTGAGGTAATCACCGTTTTTTCATTTATATTAACATTCACAGTCCTTATAATAGAGAGAGGTGAAGGGAGATAGAGTACTGGTAAATATCTTCAACTTAGGATGATATGTATTAAAAAATTATAATGCACAATAAACTCTCAGCCTAGACACAATATGTTATTTGAAATACTTGCATTTATAAGGGGTAATTTGAGTTTGCACCCCATTTTATTGTGAAAATTGGAGTTTGCACCCCGTTTTTTAAAATCTTTGTTTTTGCACCCCAACCCCATATGAAAAGACAAAAATGCCCCTCTATTAACAATTTTGTTGGCTTTCAACATATCCTTGATCGAGGGCAAATTTTTCTTTTCATATGGGGTTGAGGTGCAAAAACAAAGATTTTAAAAAACGGGGTGCAAAGTCCAATTTGGACAATAAAATGGGGTGCAAACTCAAATTACCCCCATTTATAAACAATGCATTGAATAGTCATCACAATTATAAATTATCTATGAATAATTGTAGTATAAAATTATAAGATGATAGTGATAGAAATGCTCATTAGACTAAAAAAAATCAAAGACGATATAAGAATGCTTATTTGGTTGCAATTTCATATTATGTTTCAACTTATATAAAATAAGTATGTACTATGTATATACATGTTACTAATGAGCCTAATTACGTACACACACAAAATTAAGCTTATTGATTATTAGTGCAACACATGTGCCACCTGAGTAGTAAATGTTTTTTTTTTTGACAACATTTTTTTTAAATAAATGCGGTCAACATTTTTTTGACAACATTAGTAAATGTTAATAAATGCTAAGATTTCAACCCCTTATATAATTAATTAATGAGGGGTATTTATAGTAGAGGGTGTTAGGCGAAAGGCGTGACATGCCGCTCGCTCCAAAATTTAAAGGAACAGAAGGTGACTTGTTTATAAGATAACAAGTTGACAGCACAACCTCGCCCCAGATCAGAATGGCATGGGTAGTTTAGCCATACTGAGCATACAACAAACTTTTTCTATAATGGTTCAATTCATTCCTTCAGCTACACCATTGTGTTAGTGGTGTTAATGGAACCGTTTTCTCATGTATGATTTCACATTTAGCGCAATTTGCTGAGAATTCCCAGAAACTTTATTCTACTCCATTGTCAAGAAAATAGAAACTTTAACTTCTTCCTTGTATCTCTTTCGAAAATAGAAAATTCTACCATGACATGAAATAATTTGAAATGATCAAACACTTGATCATTATTTTAGACGCCAAGTCCATACCTTTCGTGATGCATCATATATCAATGAATGTCGCAAAATATATACTGGCCCAAAATGGGTCCTCTTCAATGGATCCACATACATTAGAGTGGAGAAGACGGAGTAACACAGAATGGTTCTTTATGGTGGAACTAAAGGAAACTCAGTGTTGTGATACTCGCATGGATTCAAGGAAACACCTTTATCAATGGAAATGTCTTCCTTCTTAGCAAGAATTGTCAGGTCCTTTCATGCTCAAGTGGTCCAACCTTCGAGACCACAAGTTTAGTGGTGTCTCTTATTCAAGAAACCTTTTGATAACTTCCACATACCTTGTTTGAATTGAGTATCATATCCCTAATGGTTCATAGTTGCATGATGTGAGTTTTCCCGCACTTAAAAAGATTGTGGTAAAGTGATGAAAGTACGAGTATCATCTCCACACGGACGGACAAAAGAGAAATAAGAATTAACTAAATTCAGCGATAAAACAGAAAATAAAAAAATGCAATGGTGCGAGATTGATTGTGTTGGAAAATTAAATTGCAATTAAACGAATAAAATAAAGCGGTTTCTTCTTAATTAACGACGAAGGGAACATGGATTGATTCCGGGGTAACCAGATTTCTGGCATATCAGGCTTAATTACATGAAATTAATTTAATTGAGCGTAGCTAATATTACTAAGTTTTTACCGATCTCGCGGCGTAGAGTACAATAATTTAGGGGACCAGACTGATCTCTCATGCGACAGGTTCCTAAATTATCGCCAAGACGAGCGAGCTTACGACTCACAACTCATAATTGAAGAATCAACATAATTGGGATGAATAGAATTAGTTGTCATTAATTAAAAAGATTGAACTTACAAATAATATTAGGGCTGTGAAGAAAACAGAGGAAAAACGCAGATAAATTCGTTCTTAGGCCTCTCTATGAAGTTTGTAACCCCAAAAATGAGTATGAAAGCCTTATTTATATAAAACAGGCAAAATTCGGCTCAAACTGGGTTTTCTGGGGTCAGGCACTACCGTGCCTGAGACCGTGCGTCCGGAGCACTTCGCGCGCAATATGGGCAAGCAGGATCGTGCCTCCCTGGCAAGCACGATTAGGGGTGGTTCGGTACTGTATACCTTATATTTTTTCTCATACCTTTGCCGTACCAAAACTTTCGGTATGCAAAATTTGCATACCTTTACCTTACCGAAGTTTTGGTATACCGTATTTCGGTATACCGAAGTTTCGGTTCGGTAACGGTATGGTATCGGTAAATTGCCGTGCATGTCTCCCAATACAAAAAATTATCATAGACTAACAAAATATATTAAATCGTTATTACTAGCGACATATTAAATCTAATATTAAACTGTTACGAAATACAATTAATAATCTATTGATGTCAATTCAATATTGAACAATAATTATTATTAGTATATTTAAGCACTTCAACATGCCACATATTAAAAAGTAACACATTCTCCTAAAATAACTTGAACAATAGAAATATAATTAAATCAATAGTGAGCTCTAACAAAAATAAATAAAACTATTCAAACAACATGGATATAAAATCATTTATTCCTAATATGATATTGTGTATTTAGTTATTTTTATAATTTTATAAAAATTGAATAAAACTTTCGGACAAAGTTGTGTGTCTCGACTCGCGGAATCCCTATGTAGATACACTTGTCACATAAGTGTATCTCTCTTCACTCGTCAGCTACTTAGCGGTCCAGCCATCACAACTTGCAAACTCTTGGAACAAGATGAACTTGTTTCTTGACATTTGTACATACATTACTCATTAGTCATTAAGGTTAGCGTAGTAGAAACCTATAAGGTTATAGTGAGTTTGAGAAATTGGGCCTTTAATTTTTTTATTTTTGTATTTCTAACCAACTTAAGTATTAATTTTGGGCTTCAAAATTGTAATGAATTTTTACAATATATTAGAATTAAAAGTAATTGTTCAGTAGGGAGTCGGTACGGTATTATACCGGTATACCGCGCGGTATTTGAAAACATGTACCATTACCGTACCGAAATAGATCGGTATGGTATAATACCATACCGAAAATGACGGTATACCAATATTTCGGTATTTTTCGGTACGGTAAGTGCGGTATACCGATTTTTCGGTATTTTTTCCCACCCCTAAGCACGATCGTGCTTGGCTTCCAGTAGCTCAGTTCCTCTTCCTTCTACAAGCAGGGCGTGCCTATCTGACAGGCACCACCGTGCCTGGCTTTTTTTCTTCCGAATTTGACTATACTTCCTTCACCAAAGTTGTAAATAATGAAGTCATTTATCCACCACAACTTGCAAAACCGGATTTGAATCATCCAATCAAAAGATATGAATAAAATGGTGGAAGGTTGCATTCTGAAATCGTAACAGGGATCATCTGACTTCTTCGTCTGTTTTCACCTTCCTCCTCTCAGATTCTTGCAATGGTGTCTTCATATGATTTGTAGCCCTTGAGGGTTGATTTCATATGGAACTTAAATCGTGTAGTTTGGATGTTTGTACAAAAAGTTATGCTTGAACGATTAACAGAAGGTCATCCTGATCGCCGTTTTCAAGCTCTATTCATCTTCTTTTGATCCCGTAGCCAATCCTAGAGCTCTTTTGCCTTCAAATCTTCATCGTTAGCCTCCCGGTGACCTCCAAAGCTCTCAAATCAATCTAGAATGCTTCTCAAATCGTCCCGATTTCTTCTCAAGCGCCGGTGCCGGGCTCAAATCCCCTGATTTTGACTCCAACAATACAAAACTCGAACCAACACCCGGTAAACATGACTTGAGCTAAAATTGAGAGTTGTGACACAAAATAATTAGGGAAACCATCAAAAGCTGATCCCAACACACATCAAATGTGTGTCGAAATACGGACTTATCATTGCACCTGAAATAAGCTACACTATGAGATCCGGAACATAAGTAACATCTTTCAACACAAGTGTGCATTTGACATTGGTTATTATGACACATCAACAATGTCAGCAATCTTCATGAAACTCGTATCTCCCATCATCGCATCTCCAAATTCTCCAAACTTGTAGGTTGTGAATAGATTTTGGCATTGTGTGGCGTGAAATAATGTGGTTGTATCAACCACACACTCAATATCATGAGTATCTACATGTATACATTGTTCACCATATGTAACAAGTAAGATGTTTGATGTCATGGTCACCATAGTCTCACCATCTTGTAGGCTCGTTTTTTTTACTCGTCTGGGGCTGCTCTCATAAAACTTTCTAGAATCTCTTTTTCTATGCTGATAATAACCACAATGACTACAATATCCTTCACATCTAGTATAGTTCTCAAAGGACACACCTCGTTCTCGTGATCTGCTGTAAACATGAGAGCTTCCTCTATTTTTACCTTGACCTCTACCTTTACCTCTTCATCCATTTCTGTTTCCCCTTCGTCTGTTGGTTTATGACACGAGGACATATAATCAGTCTCGGCTTTTTTCCTTTGGGCTTCTTCATTCATCAATACATCTTTTATCATCTACTATACATTGTCACTTTTCTGTTGAAAAAAAATACTGAGAGTAACAACAAGAGTCTCTCGGCTATCAGGTAGAGAGCTCAAGAATAGTATCATGTGTTCTTCATCTTTAAGCCTCTGGAGACTCTCAACTGGTTCACGAGGTCCTGGAACAAACTTGTGTGTTCTGCGACGAGATACCACTACGTAACTTGTGCTTTACCGATTGTCTCATTATTAACGTCTTATTTCGAGCGCTTTTTGTGTGATACATGCTAGCAAGCTTCTCCCATAGTAAGTAAGCACTATGTTCTTCAGCAACATGGTGGAACATACTATGATCGATCCATTATCGAATTTGTGCGACTATTTTTCTATTCATTTTAGTCTACCCTTCATCTGTTTTTTGTTCGTTTTGGCGCCATTGTTATCAAGAGGATCGGCTAAACCCTTTAAATTTAGCAAATGATCCATTCAAGGTTTCCACATATTGTAATTTGTGATAGTAAGAGCAATCATGGTATCCGTCTATGAATTATCCACAATAAGTGTACAATATTTCTCGTAAATTATTTTTTAATCCAAATTAGGTCAAACGAATCAAACAGTTGGATCTGAAATGCTCAAAATTGTGGGAACCGGGCTCACCTCTTTGAAAACTGGTTTGGAAGATGGTGAAAAGGGCTTGTGAAATTTGAAGCGGTTCGGTCTGGTCCATGTAGCTGCCCATTGTGTAGACACGAGTGTCAGTGACTTGGCGATAGGTGACACACATGCTACTGACCCTCGTATGACGTGGTGACACATATCACATGACGTGGCAATAGTAGAGGTGGACTGAAAATCTGGTGGATGATGATGGGCCGGTTACATATGCTGACTGAATGATGATGTGTAGATGATGTGAGCCTGACGTGTGTGTCGTCTCCGATCTCTAGACGGTGTGTGCAGTGTGTGCTGTGAGTAACTTCCACTCGTCAGTGTGTGGTGGCATGTAAAGCTTCATATGGTGGCCGTTCTGACGCCAGATTAAAATGAGATTAAAATAACAATTTTTTCTTGTTTGGAGCTTAATCTATTGACTCGAGTGATTTACACTAGTTAATCAAAACCAAAAATATAGTGAGGTTGAATTCTCTAACTTTACATATATTATTATACTACGTAAATAAATTCGTGTGTATGTAGTTCTAGAAATGGTATTTTTCTGACAAGCATGCGAGTATGGCAGTATGCCACTCGATCTTAACATTATTAATTACTTGTACAATATTTTTTAATGTACTAAAAAGAATCATTTTCATGGTATCTAATGAATTTGCAGTAGCAAAGCGACCCTTCTGTGAAGATTTTTTGCAATTCTGCTTCGAGAGGTTCGACGTGGCCATTTGGACTTCTAGAGCCAAGTATGTATCTATATATAGAAACATTGTCTTATCATATGCGTATTACTACAATTCTTAAACAATTAGAGATGTTTCATATCATGTGAAAAATGGAAATGTGGAATTGTGGTCTTGTGGATCCCTAAATAAATTTTAAACTAATTCTAAATACCTCCCGCAATTAGAGATGTTTCATACGTCCCTCAATTTTTTTGTCTATCCTTCCCTTTTTGGATCCCAAAAAATTTGTTACTATTCTTTTTAATAAAGAATTTGTAGTTCCTTTTATTTGTCTCTCCTATACATGTACAAATAAACCACATAGTTTTTACTTTATTATTTCTCGTGTCATTCAAATTTTATAATGTTTTGATAGACGGAGGGAGTATTTAAATTCAAAATTTAAAGTATATATAGTGGGTGATACATTTGTAACTTTAATTTCCATAATTTCTCTTTTAATTTTGGGAAAAATAAACATAACACCCGAAACTTTAATGGAGTGTGAGATAAATACTTCAAACTTACGTGTGTAATTTATACTAGTCCATCAGCTCGTGCATTGCATGGATAACGAATAAATTAATTTATTTTTAACTGAATTCTATCCATGAGTAATACTCCCTCCGATTCTTAATTAAGTTGCTGGTTTGACTTCACACATATTAAGGAAATAAATTTGACTTTACTGTGGAGTGCACTGTTTTGCACTGTTTGGACACTGTTTGACACTGTTTTGTTTAGCACTGTTTTGGTGTAGTTTTGTTTGCCAAATAAGGAAGTAGGAACTTGCTTGGGACATCCGAAAAAGGAAAGTAAGGACTTAATTACGGGACGGAGGGAGTATGTGTATAAATATTTATACTATAATTTAAAATAGAACATGACATAGAATTATATTAGTACGCATTAGAGTACATGTATGATAATTATCAGAGATATACTCATTAATATAAAGTTACCAAATAATAATTATTTGGGTTCATTATCAGAGATTGATTTATCACACTTGAATATAATATAGTACTCTATTTTTTAAATTAAACATAGAATATTCATGTTCCAACTTTATTATGTCATGTATCTTAATTAATTCTGCATGTATATGTTTGTAATGTTTTTCATACAATTTTATTTATATTTATTATCTTCAACCTCATTTTTCTAATGCTTTATTTATAACTTCCAACTATTAATTAGGTTTGTACTTAATCATTGATTGTTATTAATCATTGAATAATTAAATAATACTCATTAATTATGATAACAAATTTTCACTTCTTTTGGCTCCAAATGAATTTCTACCATATTTTCTTTATAAATATAAAGATACCTCGAACTTTATATAAAAAGTTATTTTCGCATCATATTACATGTTTTTTTACTAATATAAGTTTATTGGAATAATTACATAATTTAAAATACTCAAAGCTTTCTTAGAATGCAATTAACATTCTGGAATTTCATTTATGGAATAAACAATATTACATCTGGTACAATTTAATTTTAATTGCATCGTCATAAATGTTTTGTGTATTTTAAGTTATATATGTAGCACTATAAAATTGCATTTAATTTGTAGAAAAACATATGATAATGGTGCTAACGTAATTTTTATATAAAGTTTGGGATATATATGTATACACTCACACATGTATATTACATGTGCAAGTTTGGGTATTTATCTCAATCCCCTTCAAAATTTATGATATTTGAATTATTTTTTCCTTTACTTTTTGGTAGTCATGACTACTTTCTCAGTATTATTTTGTTTACTATAACTTCCTTTTTGGGATGTGTTACAATTTTTGCCACACAATCCTTTTTTGATATTTTCTTTTTAAAAATAATAATCATTACCTTTTGTACTTATTATCCTCTCTTTCATATTTTCCATAATATTTCTTAGTTTTTGTATAGTATTCATTAATCTTACTAGTTTTCTCTTAAACCATGTGTCAAACTCTATAGTAGGAAACATTACAATATGGAGGATATCTTTTTAATCTATTATTTTCTATTAAAAGCTCTGGAGTAGTTATATATGTGGCTCATTTTATTGCAGAGTATAAAGTTCTTTCTAAATGATTACATGCTAGACTATCATGTTACATCTAAATATATCAAACAATATGCTTCATTTCATATAGTATGTTTCCAAATTGTTTCCCAAAATTTCTCATTTAACTATATGATTATGGTGCTAGATGCATGATTGAATTCATGGTAGCTCAACTAAGACAACATCAAAATGTGATCATAGTATGTACATTCAACTCCAAATTTTATCTAGGAAATAATATTTAAGTGGGACCAACATTCATGACAATTCCCACACAAAAAGGTATAAATATTTTCGAATATGTGACGAGACACATGTGGAACAAAATAAGAAAACATTAATGAATGATATGAATACATGTCAAATAACATCATTTTAGACACAAAGTTATTAGTCTTATGACTAATCGATATAAATGAAAAATTAATATATAAGATTTTAGTGATATATGGAGTAATTTTCTCTTTTATCAACCATATTATGGCTAAATTTCAATTTTCTATTTATAGATAAACTTTTTTACTATCTAGCCGATTTTCAAGACTACTATCTATGAAAACGAAAAAGAAATCTCACAAGAGGAAAACAAACTTACACTATAAACATAGGAGTTAATGTTTAATATTTACTATGTGAGAGTAATATTTTGTGATGGGATGAAAACACCCTTGTAGAGGTTGACAATTAGCTTGGTCACTGGGCCGCTAGATTCCCTAATTAATTTAAGTAGGGTTGGTGGATTTAATTATATACTTCCTCCGTCCCTCAATTAAGTTCCTCATTTCCTTTTTGGGTAGTCCCTAGATTAAGTTCTCCTTTCCTTATTTAGCAAATTAACTACGTCAAAACAGTACCAAACTGTACAAAACGGTGCCAAACAGTGTCCAAACCGTGTCAAAACAGTAAAGTTTACCCCCCAGTAAATTTTTCCTTAATAAGAGTAAAAGAAATGGGGAACTTGATTGGGGGACGGAGGGAGTATTTATATTAGCCATCCAAAGGAAACAGCTAGAATCATCAGTTTGACCAGCTAGTAAAAAGAAATTGCCAATATAATCGGTTTGACTAATCGTTGGTTCCAAGAACGAAGAATACACAAACCCTAGACATCGCTAGGAAGAAGCCACATATAATAATGTGAAAATACTAACTGATGAAGTTTAATTCCAATTACAAGAGCTAATTTACGAGAAAATAGAGTACTTGGGCAGCGTAAGGCAGCTCTTTTATTAATCAGAGAGGCGGATCCCTTTTAGGTAAGTACAAAACGTATTTATAGACATAGAGCCACAGTAGCCTAAGGAGACATAACCGGTACAATAAATAGGTATAAAGAATGATCAGATTTCTCTAATTTATCCCATAATTCCCCATTTATTACTTCTTTATGTCTACGTCTCTTCTATTAAGTCTCTGTTGTTGCCAGATAGCTATGATAGATACGCCACATAAGCCCTAGGGTGAGCTCGAATTCGACCTTGACCTCGCTAGAACTCTGCCCAGGCTCGAGGCTTGCTGATCAGGTTAGCCTAATGTGGGTTCCTTTCACTGGTCGTGATCCCTTGTTAGGCCTAGTTGGCTCTGTTAGTTAGTTAATCCCAATTAATCGGTTTGGGTTATTGATCTCGTGTAATGGGCTTTCGCATGATACATAATTGGGTCATGGTCAAAGTTCATGGTACCATCGCTAACAAAAGAGGTTTAATGAGTAGAAAGAAATTTGAGAAGATCGGAGCTGAGAAGAGGAGAGATGACTACATTTTTTTACCTTTCTCCTCTCCCCAAGTCTACGAATCTAAAGTGAAAGATGTGTATGCTATCAAATTAAGAGTTCATTTAATAACATTAAAATGTGCTAAATTCACTAAAACTGCAGAAATTAATGAAATTTTGGATAAGATGGTTAAATTGACTAAATCTGCTAAATTATGGAGAAATATTGTTGTAACCATATCTTATTAATATAATTAAGAAAAATTTATATGAAAATAGTTAAAATGACTCTCCAAAGTAACTCCAACGAATTCAATCAGAAAAGTAACTTTAACATTACTTATTTTGATTATTACACAATTTAGTTCAGACGAGACGAGGCGAGGTCAGACTTACATGTTTGATATAAAATTTGACTGGACTAGTTCAGACGAGACAAGGTCAGACTTAAATAGACCGAATCAGACTTGGAAAATTTCTAACCAATTAAAAACATCCTTAGATCAATGGATCACTATAAATGAGTTTAAATAACATTAGTTGCGATTTTGGGGGTTAGTTGACTCACAAATGGGAATGTCTAATATTGAATCTCATCAATGTGTGTCCGAAAACTGTGCAGGGAAAATTATCTTGACGAAGTTGTTGATTACTTATTGGGAGATATGAAGAAAAAGTTGTTGTTTGTTTGGGTAAGTTGAAATATATCCCTTTAAAATTCAATAATCATTTATATTTCTCTGTCCCGAATTGAATTGCAGTTTTGCGAAGTTTAAGATTAATTAACACTAAATTTAATTCATTCTTACGAATAATTAAATCACTCGAAGGAGTAAACGTTTGTTGGGAATCAAGTGGTTCACTTCACTAAATACGGTGCAACCTAATTGGAAGGATATGTTTATGATTTTCTACCTAGGTGGGAAAAGATAAAGCTCCAACCCGAGACGGATCTAGGGCATTGGGCCGAAGTGAGCCCCCTAACTATGCCCCTGACTCCAAGGGATTCGCTCCACTAGCAAACTAGAGGGTGCAAATAAATTCTGGACACACCTATGCCCCAAACATGGTTTAGTCCCTTTTATTAATTAGAATATAGGATATCAAGTGGTTTAGTCCCTTTTATTGCCATTACCACTTCACCACCTTTTCAAACCAAACCCATTCTGTATCCAAATTCTATTCCCTCAAATATCCGGCCACATTATTGTTATATTTCTCACCAGAAACCAAAGATTGCATCTCTACGGATAATTAAATCATTTTTAATAATTAAGAATTACATATTCGGTAAATACATTGAAAGTTCTATAAAGTCACAAATCCAAATTAGTGTTTAATAAAAAATGATGTGCTAAATAATTGATAAAGTGAAACTATTTTAACCAAAGAAAAGATGACTTAGCTTTGCAAATTAATTTGGAACGGAGTATCACATGAATACTTGAAAGCAGGTCAGTTTGGATTAATTTGCCTTTTCTTATTAAGTGCGTTTTTGTTGTGATGTACGTTTTTGGTAATGAAACTTGTAGGATAGGTCCTATTGTACCCGAACAGGATTTATGACCCCTGAGAACAGGTATATACCCTTAGCCTGTAAGGAGTTGAAGAAGATTTGGGGGAATGAGTGCCCCAACCAACCTTTTGTGGGAGGTTACTACAATGAATCAAACACGCTGTTAGTGGATGACTCTCCATACAAGGCTGTGCTTAATCCTGTAAGTACATCAATTATTGAATACAAATGGTTCTATATATTAAACTTAGTTCTAGTTTAACATATCTTCCATACCTTTAAGAAGTTCTTACATTAATCAGTGGAAGTAGATATTTGTAGTTATTATTAAGATGGCCGGAGTAGCTAGGCCATCTTTAGGTTTTAAGGTTTTATATACCGGTATTATGTGATTGGTGATTGGGTAGCCTAATTAAGGTTTTTTTGATCCATCCCACTAGATTGTCTCATACCAATTTGGTGAAATCCGTGTGGTTCCAAATTATTCCTTATCAATTCAATATCAATTATATAAAGTTATTTTTCTTAATAACCATACCACATTCTCATGTCCCAAGGTTAGTGGGATGGAAATAGTATTAGTAATCGCCGGTGAGATTCAATTTTAAAATCTAATTTGAAATACGGAGTACTTTTTAGTCATTGAATATATATATTAGAGAAAAGTTACAGAAATACCTAGTATATGATAAGATATTGCAAAAAATTACAATAACCCATAACCAATAGACAAGGAATTCATGATATGCTCACTTTTAAGGTTATTTGTAGATATTATTAAGATGGCCGGAGTAGGCCATCTTTAGGTTTTACGGTTTTATATACGGGTATTATGTGATTGGTGATTGGGTAGCCTAATTAAGGTTTTTTTAATACCATGTCCTGCTATGCTAAGGTTGTTTCTATCTTTTATTTTCGATCCATCCCACTAAAATTAACTCACACATACCAATTTGGTGAAATTTGTGTAGTTCCCAATTATTCTTTATCAATTCAATATCAATTATATAAAGTTATTTTTCTTAATAACCATACCACCTTTTCATGTCCCAAGGTTAGTGGGATGGAAATAGTATTAGTAATTGCTCGTGAGATTCAATTCTAAAATATAATTTGAAATGGTTTTTAGTAATCATGAAATGAAAATATATTAGAGAAAAGTAAGAGAAATACCTAGTATATGATACTACGTCAGATATTGCAAAAAATTACAATAACATATAACCTATAGACAAGGAATTCATGATATGCTCAATTTTATCCTTGTAAGACCTTTGTGATCGAAAAATGAAAATTTGACTTTCACAATTTTTATGATGCGGCTATATAGAACAATTTACACAATTACACTTGCTCGAAACACAACTATAGCATATTGTAACTACTTACACAATTAGGTTGATTTTAATTGGAGAGTAGATTTCTGATCTAGTCAGTTCAGATCGGGTCTTGTCCAGTCTGGTCTGTTTAAATCAAGCATGATCTGATAGATGTGTGCTCTATGTGTATTTTACCATTTTCGAAGTCTGATTTGATCTGGTTTGGTCTGAACTAGTCTGAGCTAATTTGTTTAATATGATTTAGTTTGATCTAGTGTGGATTAAAACCAACCAAAATACTTTGTCTTTGTGTAAATTGTTTCGTAGGTTCACACTGCGATCTTTCCTCATTCCTACAATGAACAAACGATGATAAATGATCGATCATTAGGTAATTGTATTCCAAATCCAATTAAATATACTTTCATAATTAATCAATTATGGTTTAGTCGTTAATTATAATATTTCAGGCCCGGGAGGTGACCTTCGAGAATATTTAGAAGGGTTGGCAGGAGCTGAAGATGTGAGAAATTATGTGGAGGGTCACCCGTTTGGTCAAAAGCCCATTGACTATACACACTGCAATTGGAAAGTTTACTCGGGAATTATTAGAGCTCTCTCCGACCGTTCCTGATTAGAAAAAAGATTGGGGTACACACTTTTTGTACACAAAAAGTGTGTACCCCTAGCAGGCTTCTCCTGATTATTTACTGACCATTTTTCCCTCCATGCACCCTAAAGTTCAAGGGAACTAGCATAAAATAAAAATGGGCCATAAGTTCTGTCCAATAGAAATGTGTTTAAGAGCCTATCACGGTATTGACATTGTTTTTCTATGGTATTTTAGTTTATATTTTGTGCAAGGAAAGTATCTCCATCACTCGACTTGCTTTTGTAGACTTCCCTCTTGAAAAAATTAAGACCTATACAGTATACACTATATACTACTTCGTGTGTATTTAAATTTTCATATTACATAATTGAGTAATGATCTGGTCAGGCGCGCCTGACCAGATGTGCTGTGCAGACTTGTCCGTTTGGGTGTCTTCTCGATTGAATTTTTTGATGAAATTTTTGAGCATGTTTCTCATCAAGTTTAGTTTATCCATACCAAATTTCAGCTCAAAATTCGATCGGGAAGACAGTTAAATAAATTCTTGAAACATACTGGTCTTTATATATGCGCAGAATGACCAGTATGTTTCAAGAATTTATTTGACTGCCTTCCCGATTGAAATTTGAGCTGAAATTTGGTATGGATAAACTAGACTTGATGAGGAACATGCTCAAAAAATTTCATCAAAAACTTCGACCGGAAAGGCACCCAAACGGGCAAGTCCGCACAGCACACCTGGTTAGGCGCGCCTGACCAGATCATTACTCTTACATAATTGGATCTCCTAGCTATCGCATCAATCAATATTTAGGACTGGATCACAAGCCTTGGATCGAGTGAGCATGCTGGAGTTTATCTTGATTAAATAACTTTAATGAGGAGTCTTGAGTTCAATTCCCACTTAGGAAGATGAGGGACACATTGGTCGCCATGATTCTCAAGCTCCCTACCTCCACGAAGTAAATCAGGGACTGAGAAGACATATGACCACAAAGAAGGTGGTAAGTTTGTGTGGTGGAGAAGTAGCCTAGAAAAGACAGATGATGTAAGTCTTGCTGAATTCGTTATTTAGATTTAGTATCGATGAGGTTGACTTTGATCAGGTCTAGATTTACCTGTCTAGCGGTTTTCAAGGGTAGTTCGTAGATTTCATGATAATGAGAGCGTATACTATATATATGACTACTTTCAAGATAAGAGAAAGTGGGAATGGAAGAGGAGCCGAGTCACGATAGAGTTCTAGAGGAAGGTGAATCGAGGAAGCGCAGGGTAGTGGATCTGGAGAACCTGGTGGAAGTTCAAGATAATATGGAGGTTGATGAAACCGGTTCAAAAAACGATGTTGCGGCGGTGCTACTGAATCAGCACCACCTGGAATTCTATTAGTTGTTGTAAGTGGGAGTTTTCCTTTGGAGGTGGCTGGACAAACCTCTTCTCCCTTCCTAATGACCATCCAAATTGGAATGATTAATATCTTTGGAGGTGTCCGATCAAACATCTTCTCCTTTGCTGGTGGCTGGTAAAACCAGGATTAATGACTCTACTGCTTATTTTCAGTTTTTGAACTCTAGTTTTTTTTATTATCATTTTGTCGTAGTGGCAAGTATAGCGATGCTGTTAAATTAATAGTCTACCATTATGTGGAGTTAGCCATCTGACATGGCCTTCTAGGGCTAACTAGTTCTATGTTTCACTTCAGGGTTACTCTGAGTTATTGCTATGTTTTGTCTATTGTTAATTAGTTACCTTTAATATCATTAATAAATGAATGTTTTAATTTCAAAAGCAAAATTGTATTTGACTCTTAAGATCACCCTATAGTTCTAATATATGCATCAAACAGTTTATTTAAAACTTTGGACACTATGAATTCTATGAGAGCAATCGAGCATACGGAAAGAATCACACAGTCCATCCACAAGCTTATTAAGGGAGTGTTTGCGATTGCTTGTGTTTTTTAAAAGTGATTTTTTAAGAGATTATTGGAAAAGTGATTTGTAGTAAAAGTTAGTAGTGTTTGGGAATAGAAGTAACTTTAATTTAAAGGTAAAAGTTGGAGTGTTTGGGAAAAAAGTGATTTTTGATGTAATATTTGGTTAATGACAAAAATGCCTTTGCTATCTCCATTTACTACACAAGAGCCATTCGGCCATGAGGTAGCACGGTCTGACAGGCCGCAGGGAATCACGGGAGGGGAGGGTAGTTTTGGTTTAGTAAAATATTTGATCTAATAACAATACCCAAAGTTGCGAGTATTTACATAAATACAAATAAGCTGATAAAAGCACCCCCAAGCATGCTTTGAACTTTTGACTTATAAGTGCTTTAATTTAATCTAAAAGTTGGGTATACAAACACCATTTTTGGCTTTTCATTACAAAGTCAAAAGCACTTTTGTTTAGAGTTTGCAAACACTCCCTAAACACCGGTGGGCGTAGCTCAAGTGGTAGCGAGGGAGCGCCACAAGGGTTAGGTCTTGGGTTCGAATCCCGACAACTGCGATAAGGGGTTACTATGCTGAAAAATGCATAGGGCTTCTGCAAGTACCGGGGACAGAGCCTCACTCTCTATCTGTCAGATTGTGATTATAGTCCAATTTACATCCTCCCATCGTGCCGTCCGGTCGATGTTGGGGGGCCCTCAGGGATGGGGTGTCATCTTTTTTTTTTGCAAACACTCCCTAAACATATCAGATTCATTGAACCGACATTAAACATCTTCGATGAAACTTTTGTATAACCGGTAATTTTACAATTGCTATTTTTTCCATAGAAATGAAAATAGGTAGGTCAGTGTGGAAAATAAACATAAACCAAATGTAATGATGACGATTATGACGAACCAGCATAAAACATCGATGTGATGTCCACCCCTGCAAAGAGTCAGGTCATAAGGGGGAGTGTATATAAAATCCCGGGGGAGTGTATATAAAATCCCGACGATTATCTTTTCTGTTAAATTGATCTTTCATACGCAGTATTAAAAGAAGAATATAATGAGAGACGAAAAAAGAGTCGCGGTGTAAAATTGGAACAAAAGGGAATTTGAAACAAAATTGTAAAACTCTAAATTGTAATGAAATTTTAAATGCTGGGCAATTTTAACTTTAACTTTTATTTTGAAAAGTATGAATTGCATTTTGTTCTCATAAGATGTACATTTGGAAGCCAAACAGTTCTTTACGACTCATTTTTGTATTGATAAAATGATAGATTTGTTGGAATGATTTTAATTGGGCATAATTTTTGAGTTAATATTCTTAATAACTTACTACTATACGTATTTGGTAAATACTTGTTGAACGTGTATTAGAAAATGTATATGTAACAGTATCCCGCCTTCACCCGCCCAAAACAGCCGCCGTATTCCGCCGTAACTTCTTCCTCAAATATCGCGTCCTTTCAATGACGTCTTGCCCCACCCACCGTGCAAACCCCCACAACTCCACACCGATCCCCGCGCTCCGCCCGTTCCACCTCCCAAAAACAGTTAATGCCGTCCACATTTTACATTCTCTCGCAGTAATTTCTATTTAATCTTTGGCGTCTCTCGTCGGCAAGATGTTAGAAGTTATTTTCAGAAGCGAGGATCTAACTAATCCGTCGCCGGCATGGAGTCTCCGGGAAATCATGATTTGATCGATAAGCGCCCATTCCATGTTACTGGTCCAGTATATGATAGTAATGATACTTCCGGGGAATCTTCTCCCCGAAAGAAACTCCGGGTACTCGGCGACGACGCCGGTATGGAGCGGAGAACCAAACTTTCCGATGAACTCCCACCGGACGACGGACGAAACGGCCGTCAACGGTCTTCTGCCGGAATTGGCAAGAGCCCAGAGGACATTTCTTCCCGGAAGAAACTGCTGATACTCGACGTCAACGGTCTTCTTGCGGCCGTTGACCGCCTAACCTCAGCTGGACGCGTCAGCTATTCAGGCAAGACAAATTAGCTTTCGAATAACCTTAAATTTCAACTGTTTATTTATATTTACCATAAAAAACTATTTGTATTTATTTCTATTTGAGAATTCAACTCATCCAAATCAACGGTTTAAATTTGCAGTTACAAAGAGACCCTTCTGTGATGAATTTTTGCAATTTTGTTTCGAGAGATTTGACGTCGCTATCTGGTCCTCTAGAATCAAGTACGTATATACTCCCACCACCCGAAATCGAAAGTTCTCTAAACATAAGTAAATTTCTTTTTTCAAATAGCAATAAATTTAGTTTCTTAGTAACATGTGCTCAATGCTCATGTACTTATCTAGGGATTTTTTTATTTTTTTATTCTTTAAATAGAAACAAATAAGTCGATCGTATTTTGAGACGAAAAATATTTGGAACATCTTCAGTGGTACAATGTACATGATACATTGATACATCAAAACAAATCAATGACATTTCCCTATTTTCGCACTGGTTTGTACTTCGTATAATTTTGATAAATTTTATGGATAATCTAAATAACAATTTCTACATCTAGACACTCTTCTCAACATTGTAGAGAAAAATTTATCTTAAACATAAGACCATTCGAATAAGAATAGTGTTAAATTTATCTTAACATTTTATGTGTACGTCTATCTCTCATGTTACATGTGTATCGTAGGCATTGTACCATTGCAGATGTTTTTTAATCTTACTTTTAATTTTTCATATGTGTTACTCATATACAATCGTATGAAACAATGCGATGCGGGAAGTTACTCATAAGATGTTACTCATATTTTGTGCCTTTATATCCCAAAAACGTAACAACTCCTCACCTGGCCTACACACGTTCTTTTTTTTTTTTGGATGAAATGTAAATTATATTAACACCCAGAAAAATTTAACATATACATGTGTCCTACTTCTACAAAAACCTCCCCACCCCCTCATAGTGAGGGGGATAAGAGGTTCTTTATAAGAGACAAGTCTAGTCTAAAGCCACACACTGGCCAAAAAACAAAATCAAAATCGGTGCTACATGTTGCACACACAAAGATTAAAATCAGCCCAAAAAAAAAAAAAAAAAGGAGTCAAAAGAAGTCAAGGTGTTGCAAGGGCACACACGCTAGTACAAACAAAAATGTTATCTATATGCCCATCCCAAGTTTGGACTTTGACACTAAATGTGCAGTGTAATAAGCAATGTCGCAGTCTAATAAGCAATGTCGCAGTCTGCCAATAGGTAGCTTTGGTCCATCAAAATTTGATCAGGTCATATGGGTAAATACTAAAAAGTATTTTATATACCATATGCTTGACCTTTGCTATCACATTATCCTCTGTTTTTGTTCCATCATCAAATAAGTTCTCATTTCTTGTATGCCAAATATAGTAGACCGATGCACAGAACGCAAGTCTTGCCGCTTTTGCTTTCAATGTTGACCCTTTGTGGGTCTTCGTGATCCATTTGATTGAGCTAAGCAGAGTAGTCATTTCGTGCCCAAGTCCCATCCATTCTCTAATCTTGTCCCATACCCTACAAGTGAAGGGGCAAAGGAAGAATAAGTGTGGGATTGTTTCCAATCCACTTTTACACAAGTCACATCTATTGACCATGTTTAGGTAACCGAGGCTATCCTGGGTGGGTAGTCGGTTCCTTAAGGCCAACCAAACATTAAAAGAGAATTTTGGAGGAATATAGGACTTCCAAATGAAACTCATTGGAGTCCTAGGGTTCCCTTTAGTTCTTAAAAGGTCATATATTTTGGTCGAGACTAACTTCCCATTAATGGTCCTAGCACTGAGGCCCATAATGGTGTCATTCAAGTTGTTAAAACATCCACGTATTTTATCTCGTATTTGGGCCAGACGCTTCATTAATTGGGAGTCTCGGCTGTGTGGGGAGAATTCCCACACACTCCTTCCATTAAGATATACGCCATTAACCCAACGGACCCATAGTGTGTCCTTTTTCTTATGGACATCCCATAAAGTGCGGGATAGGAGGCTATCATTCCAAGTTTTGGCATTATGAATGCCTAAGCCCCCTTCATCTTTAGGGAGACAGATGTCATCCCAAGCCACTTTAGCAAACTTACCTCCCCACAAAAAAAATCTACAAATGGATACTATCCTATCCAAAATAGTCCTTGGAACCGGAAAAATTTGGAGCCAAAAAGATTGGACCCCTTGGATCACCGATCTAATAAGCTCTAATTTCCCGGCATAGGATATCGTTTTCGTATTCCAAGCGCTAAGGAAGCCATTAATCATATCAAGTAAAGGTGCATATTGAGCAACCGATACCTTTAAAGGAGCCAGGGGAATTCCGAGGTATCTAACCGGGAAGGTCCCTTGTCCATAATCCACAAGACTTAATATATTATGTAATTCGACGTCTCTCACCCCACCAACGAAAATATTTGATTTTCCATGGTTTACCCTTAAGCCCGATACGTCACCAAACTCTTTAAGAGCATTGAATATTATTTCTATGGAATGTATGTCACCTCTCGAAAAGAGCATCAGGTCATCCGCATAGGCTAAATGGGTAATGCCCAAGGATGAGCATTGAGGGTGGAAATTAAAATTCCCTCCTTTGGTTCTCACGTTGAGCAACCGGGAGAAATATTCAAGGCATAAGACGAATAGCAATGGGGACATCGGATCCCCTTGCCGTATGCCTCTTTTACCGTTAAAGAATCCATATAGTGAACCATTCAAGGAGATCGAAAAAGAGGCTGTGGATACACATTCCATGATCCAGCCAATAAATCTAGGTGGCAAGCCCAAACCCCCTAAGACATGTCGAAGAAAATCCCACGATATTGTGTCATAGGCCTTACGCAAATCCACCATGATCATACACCTTGGTGAAATTCGTTTCCTATTGTATCCTCTAACAAGTTCCTGGGCTAGGAAAATGTTATCAAACATTAGGCGGCCGTCCACAAACGCTCCTTGGGCTTGATTTACCAACCCTGAAAGGCACGGGGTTAGTCTGGCCGCAATAATTTTTGTGATAACTTTATACATGACATTCGTACAAGAAATGGGTCTATAGTCCGAGACTTTAGGGGAGTGACTAGTCTTGGGGATAAGTGCTATAACAGTATGATTAATCTGTTTAAGCAACTTTCCCGTTCGAAAGAACTCCTTAATAGCCCGAACCATGTCATCCCCAATGATAGACCAATTGGCTTTAAAAAAAGCCGAGGAGAACCCATCCGGCCCTGGTGCCTTATCATCCCCAATATCAAACAAGGCATCTTTAATTTCCTTGTCTGTTATCGGAGCTAATAGGCTATCATGAACACTTGGTTCAATCAAAGGGCCGGTACCTAAAACCAAATGGTCAAGGTCAAGGTTATCCACATGCGTACCAAATAAATCAACAAAATATTTAACAAATACATCCCCAACTTCATCTAAAGACTTAGTAGATGTCCCGTCTTCCAGCAAAACCGAAGAGATGGTATTCCGGCTTGCATTCCTCTTGACTATGGCATGAAAATATCGTGTGCCTTTGTCCGCTTCAAGGATGTGCGTGGCTTTGGCTCTTTGTTGGTAGAAGCTTGTTTCGGCCTCCCCCAAGAATGTTGCTCTTTTTCTAGCCACCATTAATTGGACTTTAAGTTCATCATCCATCGGCGACTGAAGCACTAATTTGTTTAATCTTTTAAAATCCTCCTTTGCAATTTTTGTCTTGGCCGAGATATGCCCAAACTCCAACCTGTTAAACTTCTTTAAAGGAGCCTTCAACGCCTTAAGCCTCCTAATAAAAGAGTATTGAGTTGTACCAAGAACAAAAACATTCCAATTCTCCAAAATAATATTAGTAAAATCATTGTGCTTCAACCACATGTTAAAAAACTTAAATGGCTTAGGCCTTAAAGAGGAATTATGGAGTATTGATGTTACGGAAGCCGTATGATCAAACTCAACCTCCATTTCATGGAAATGGGCCTTACAAGCCAAACCCTTTTGTGCCCAAACATCATTTAATAAAACCCGATCAAGCTTGGCCCATAAAGAGCCCCTATTCCACGTGAAAAATTCTCCCGTGGAGGGGGCATCTTCTAGACTAGCCCTAACTTTAAAATCTAACAGATCTTGCATCATGTATGCACTGGGTGGGTTTGACCCCATCCTCTCATTCGGAGCGCAAACACAGTTAAAGTCACCCGCTATTAACCAAGGTTCCGTAATACGGTCACCTAAAATAGCAAGATATTCCCACAGCGCCTTACGCTCTAAGACAGTATATAAGGAATAAACAAAAGTGACCAAAAATGTGGTCTGTGTAATGCGGCAAACACACTCAACATGTATAAATTGCCCTTCTATTTCACGCATCACACAGTGTAGAAGACTAGGGTCCCACATCACCACCATTCGGCCACCGTCTAATTTTCCAAAGTTAGTTTCAAAAAACCATCCCGGCCACTTATTTAAAATAAATTTTTTGATACTAACCTCGGTCATTTTAGTTTCCAGAAAGCAACAAATATTTACCTTATTTAATTTAATAAAATCATTAATAGTTTTATGTTTTGAGGCTTTATTTAAGCCTCTAACATTCCAAGAAGCAACCTGGATCATTATGGCAGATAGAAATCCGGAGAAAGGTCTTCATCTCCGGTCTCCGGGGTGACCTTCATTTTCTTTCAACCTCTCGGCCTTCCTCATTCCACGGAGCATCTCTTTAAGAAACTTTTTATTCCTGTCTTGGTTAGCATCAAAGAAAACTAACACATCATGGAAAAAATCGTCATTATCAAAATCATACCAGTTTTCATTCTTTTTGACTCCCGGATAAGAAAGTATGAAGGACTCAGTGAAGTAGACTCCTGGCTCCTCATGCTTCACCTGTTGTAGCCTGGAGCCCATCCTAACCTTTTTAACCCCCTCTGGAAGTTCATGTGGAGCCCAAACATATGCCGACCTTCTGTTTTTTTCGTCTATGACCACCTTTGTCACTATATCATCCTCCCCCATTTCATACATATTATGTATCAAATAGCCCCAACCACCATTTATAATCCCTTCCTTTGTAGGTTTGGCAGGAGGTTGATCCATTGCACTGGGGTTGGCAGATTCATCCGTGGCATGGTATTCATCCCCAGGTTGCACAACAGTCTTACCTTTACCTTTCCTTTTCCGCTCCAGCATTTCCTCAAGATAATCTTTGTTCCTGTCTAAATCGGCATCAAAGAAAGAGAAAACATTAGCATAAAAAAGAGCTTTATCAAAAGCATACCAGTCGCCAGCCTTTTAGACCCAAGGGAAAGAGAGCAGGCAAGATTCTGTGAAGTAGACTCCAGGTTCTTCATGTTTAGCTCGTTGAAGGTTTACTCCCAATCTCACTTTAATCTCCCCATGAGGCAGATCCTCAGTACGTACCACAAAAGCCCGTTTCTCTTTATTGTCATCACAAAACACACCAGTCACAACATCATGTTCATCCATTTCATGCATATTGCGAATGATGTCACCCAATGGATCATCTTTGGTGTCCAGTGTAGTATCATTACTAGTAATAGGATCCTTTTGGATCACTTTGGTATAGAAATTTTGGGGAAGTTTAGGCTTCGGGATGTAAGCCTTAGGTGGGCCAGCAGCATTATTAACCGGATTCTTCATCCCCAGGTGCTGAAACTTCTGCCCAGGGTGGTTACCAACAGCCTTGGAAGAGCTAGCCACACCTGCACCTGCAACCATCTTCCCTCTTCCAGTAGCTTTATTCTTCTTGTAGTTTACCTCCATAAAAGGAGGTTCTTCAACAGGAACAGTTTCGGCCAGAACACTGCCCTTGCCGTTTGCTTTGGTAATGCCCACCACCTTGTTTTTATCCTTGGGATGATTTAATTTTAAACAATTAAAGGGGTGATGACCATACATCTTACAGTCATAGCAGTACTCCGGGTAGGTTTCATAGATCACTCGCTGCATATATTCCTTACCCGAAGGAGGGATTAAAGGAAACTGGAGCACCGGTGCTTTAGTGACATCGACTTCAATTAGCACACGGGCAAAATGATTGAAAACCGTATCCTGTGTGACTTTATCAGTTGTGATTGGGACTCCAACTTGAGATGCGATCATGCCTATTTCTTTAGCCTGCCAGAGTCTCATCGCCAGTTTGGGGAATTTGACCCAGATCGGAACCTTCAGGAATTCTTCACTGTCGACCGAGAAATCTTCAGATAGTTCCTTAAGGAACATAGTCTTCCCATATAAGATATAGGGACCTTCTGCCAACACTTTGAGCCGATCTTCTTCACTCTTCAATTTAAAGATTACCCACCCTTTGCTGTGCGATTTAATATCAACTTGGACACCCCATTTGGTAGTCATATCATATATGGCCTTCAAGCCAGGAAATCTGCCAGTAAAATGCCCTACCAGACAGAAACCCCACACCTCAATAAGCGTAGGTACCTTGAGATGGGAGAAGTCCAGTTTTTCCCCCGTGGGGGGGAAATACTCCAGTTTGAGTCCATTAGATGGTGCTTTATTGTCCCGGAATAAGGAAGACCATTGTTTAGGTTTATCCTCCTTGTCCAGTATCATGATTGACTCATTATCATCCTTGTCCGGTTTCCCAATTGATTGAGTATCATGTGATTCAAGAGTGACAGAGACATCCGGTCCATCTTCATTGGTAATGTGATTTTCATCCAAAGTCTCAATTATAGGAGTATCAGGATCAGTGGTTGATTTAATCACCAAGGAAAGCTCCTGTGAGGCCGCGACAGTAGAGCAGGCAGATCCCATTCCCACTAGCGCCTTAGCATAAGAAGCTGCCACATCTGAACCTTGTGAAGCCGCGGCATTAGCAGTGGAGTCTAGCCCCCCTCTACCATTCGATGTTGCAGTATGAACATCATTAGTTCCCATGGACTTGGATGGTGATTC